CACAATTAACACAGGACTAAACTAGGAAATTCTCTTGGAACTGTAAATAACACAATTAACACAGGAATAAACTAGGAGATTCTCTCAGAACTGTAAATAACACAATTAACACAGGACTAAACTAGGAGATTCTCTTGGAACTGTAAATAACACAATTAACACAGGACTAAACTAGGAGATTCTCTCTGAACTGTAAATAACACAATTAACATAGGACTAAACTAGGAGATTCTCTTGGAACTGTAAATAACACAATTAACACAGGACTAAACTAGGAGATTCTCTTGGAACTGTAAATAACACAATTAACACAGGACTAAACTAGGAGATTCTCTCTGAACTGTAAATAACACAATCAACATAGGACTAAACTAGGAAATTCTCTTGGAACTGTAAATAACACAATTAACACAGGACTAAACTAGGAGATTCTCTTGGAACTGTAAATAACACAATTAACACAGGACTAAATTAGGAGATTCTCTCTGAACTGTAAATAACACAGGACTAAACTAGGAGATTCTCTTGGAACTGTAAATAACACAATTAACACAGGACTAAACTACGAGATTCTCTCTGAACTGTAAATAACACAATTAACATAGGACTAAACTAGGATATTCTCTTGGAACTGTAAATAACACAATTAACACAGGACTAAACTAGGAGATTCTCTTGGAACTGTAAATAACACAATTCATTGAGGTGTACAAAAACAACACAAAAGTCATGTTCACAAGCTTCTCCCAAAGCACATAGTTGAATGGAACTAATTATTCAAACCTGTATAAACACTATTTGAAAAGGAACAAATGGACATTTGTTGCCAAATTGAATGAAGCATACGTCAACTTATGTGTTTGCAAAAGTTAATGTGATTTATTATCAAAAATGGTACATAGTATGTTGTGAAAGTTTTTCCAAAAGATTTAATGTCTTTATAGGTTAATACTATAATGATATTTAAGGTTAAACATCCAGACTCAAGCTCTTCTTCATACTGATCAGACTAAGATGTAGTCACCACTACATTATGACGAAATACACTCTTTGTAAAGACTACATGACAGTAAGATATAGCTCCATCAAGACAAAGCATGCAAGTCAACAAGAAAGTTCCTCTCTAAGATACAGTTACAGATGGGAATACACCCCAGACATTTCACAGACATCTTCCACAGGGCACTTAAAACTCACCATCTGTACACAGATAGCAGACTTTGGACACAATGTAAAGACGGGAAGAGGGGAGGGGGACATTGTATAGCTAAGCACTCATCCTAACCTCAAATCATTAGTGAAGTATTTGAATATGCAATGCAACTCTATCTTCTTATAATATTATAGTATTTATTTTGTATTTATTCTTTGTTTGGTATATGTACAGGTACCACATGTTGTCATCCAGGGAGGTATCGCTAAATACCACACGTTGTGTTAGGATGTTGACAGCAATGTCCTTCAACAGTTGTTCATGTATACCTAAAGGTTAGAGCCCTACCTATGTTGTAGTGAGAATTACTAGTGACATAGATAGTAAAGTCACTCTGGTTAAATGCCTTTAGTCAGTCTAGTCCATAAGAGGATCTTGAAGTGTACGACTGAGAATATCCAGTAAAAGCAATAGTCCATCATATTCTAAAGCAGGTGCACACACACTGTGTTTGTGTTTCGAATTTAACAAAGATTGTAAATTTTGAATTTTATTTTGTGTCTGGTCTCATTACTTAATTTTAAATCAACTCAGGAAGTAAGACATTTAATATTAATCTATAATCTCTTGTTATCAAGCAAACCTATCTGACATAGCTTTACAGTTAATCCAGTTTCACCTGGATATACCACATTACCACAAATCCTGATTCTTTACCTCAGTTTCTGCAGTCTGAATCTGATAAAGAATTCTACTTATTGCCTCTTCAGCTGGAAGGAGTGATGGATTCTGTGCTGTCAACTTATTTGCTTGTCCATCTGCCACTGCAGCTTTAAGTTCTTCAATATTAACTCTAAAACAAGAAAAATTAGTTTAACATATTATGATTCCAATAGCAAATGCAGCTAAACCAGTTAATATTATATAAAGATTTAGTAACATTGAGTAATGTAAAAAGAACAAGAATTAATTACAATTTAAAATCTTCTATACACCATCTTTTAAGAGCAAATATTAATTTCCTTTCTTACCTTTACTTCATAGCCCTAGAACAGATATCCCATTTCCATTACTAACAAAGCATGAAGATAAAGTGATCGACATTACTTAATCAAATAACACCTAAACTCTAAAGAACACTTCACTACATTTTGGTCAAAAAATTTTCACAAAATTTCCCCTTTAAGACATAATGTTGAAATGGTTTTAAGTTTATCTGGACAAGTACTTAACTACAGATACTTTATCATCTCATGATTAGGTAGAGTAGAAATACTTAATACAATGCCAATTCTCCAACTTTGAGCTTTGAATGTTACAATTATTTGATAAACAAAACTCATAACACCACTTATGATACATTTTTATTTCAGTATTTTTTTAAAGTTATTTGTTTTCACTTGGACATTTATAATCCTATGTAGCAACTAATCTTTTCAAAGAATTATATTACAACTGTATCAAATAGTTCCTGTACATATAAAGATAGGTAACATAAAAAAACAAACCAAATGGGAAGCCCAGCAATACTTTAAAGAAAAATAAAATTAATCACTCTATCTTATTTCATGTTCAGACAATAACCATTCTATTTTAATTAAAAGTTATACAATGGGTGGTAACAACAATAACTGAAAGTTATACAATGGGTGGTAACAATAATAACTGAAAGTTACACAATAGATGGTAACAATAATAACTGAAAGTTATACAATAGATGGTAACAACAATAAATGAAAGTTACCCAATAGATGGTAACAATAATAATTGAAAGGTATACAATAGATGGTAACAACAATAACTGAAAGTTATACAATAGATGGTAACAACAATAATTGAAAGTTACACAATAGATGGTAACAATAATAATTGAAAGGCATACAATAGATGGTAACAACAATAACTGAAAGTTATACAATAGATGGTAACAATAATAATTGAAAGGCATACAATAGATGGTAACAACAATAACTGAAAGTTATACAATGGGTGGTAACAACAATAATTGAAAGTTACACAATAGATGGTAACAATAATAACTGAAAGTTACGCAATAGGTGGTAACAACAATAATTGAAAGTTACACAATAGATGGTAACAATAATAATTGAAAGGCATACAATAGATGGTAACAACAATAACTGAAAGTTATACAATGGGTGGTAACAACAATAACTGAAAGTTATACAATGGGTGGTAACAACAATAACTGAAAGTTATACAATGGGTGGTAACAACAATAACTGAAAGTTATACAATAGATGGTAACAACAATAATTGAAAGTTACACAATAGATGGTAACAATAATAATTGAAAGGTATACAATAGATGGTAACAATAATAACTGAAAGTTATGCAATAGATGGTAACAACAATAACTGAAAGTTATGCAATAGGTGGTAACAACAATAACTGAAAGTTATACAATAGATGGTAAAAGAAAGTTTATTTAAAGAAGCTGTTTCTCAAGACAGTTGCCACCCATTGTATAGCATTTAACTTAGTAATCGCTCCATTTCATGTGGTGTACAAATATTAAACACTAAAATCATGTGTCTTAGTGCAGAAACTCCTTTTAATTTCTTTCTTACTTACTTGACATCAGCTGCAGTGGTGGAGGCATTATTTAATGCTTTATCTCTTGCTTCACTAGTGGCATTAATTTCAACCCACATACTCTTGTCTTCAGCATCCTAAAACATTTGATGAGCTGTAATATATTATCTAGCCAGCTTCTTGCTTTTCATATATTTTGTTATAACCATTCAAAGATATACTGCATAACTCTATTACACTCTATTTCATGAATAAATATATATAACACAACTTTATTAAATAATGATTTGGAAAGTAAATATATAACACAACTTTATTAGATATGTTTGAGAACAAAATATTTTATACAATTTTATTAGATAATGATTTTGAAAGTAAATATATAACACAACTTTATTAGATATGTTTGAGAACAAAATATTTTATACAATTTT